ATGTGTGGATGTGTGGAAACCCAGGTATTTGTACTTTATTTTGTTGCAAAACCTTACTGGAATTAATTTTATGACTCTTTTATTTCTGCTAAAATCAAACTTGGCAGGAAGACTTGAAGGCAGCATAAGTACGATAAGTAATCAATCGAAAAACCGTGTTGATCCAAATCCTCAACACATACACAAATACAGACAGTGACAAACGCATACAAACACACACACACTAAGCCAAAGACGCGCACACAATCACATGACTTACGTTATATTTTCCTGCTTCAGCTCTTTTTTTTACGGTTCTAAATTGCACGTCTTATTTTGGAGGGCCACTAAGAACTTCTTCAGCCCTTTGGAAATGAAAAGAGATGAAGTGCGTTTTGGCAGCGTTGAACTCACACTGGCAGTGTCATTGCATACTGGTTCAGTGGTTGATGCAATCCTCTGCAAGATGTGTATGTTACACGAGGAATGCTAGTTTATATAAAAGGATTTCTGTGGTTCTGCTTCTATCACAACATAGGCTTCAAACACTCATTTCTTATCTCATCTATCTTGTCCATCACGCTTCGCTTTGGAAGAAAAATCAATATAGTACTCTACGCAAGTACACAAATGCTTTGGCCAATGCATTGCAAGCGTGCTGTCCTGATATATATATACATATGCTGGGTTCTGTAGTGGTAACAAACCTCAAGGGGGCGATAGAGTTCAGATGTTTGCGCCAGTAAACCACACAGGAAACTGACCATAGTGCCTCTTGTCGTAACACTGCTAATGCTACGCACAGGGATGGGCAGTATTTTAATTAAATGTATTTAAAATACATATTTAATTACTTTTGAGTATTTTGTAATTCGTGTTTAGATGGACAAAAAAATCAGATGTAATTTGTAATTAAATACTTTGAGAGACAGTATTTTGTATTTGAAATACATAAAATACTTAATCAAGTAGGCCATTTTATTCTCAGATAATACAATATCTTTCTTCACCTGTGTTAATAGTGCTGCCAACTATAGCCTATCACAGTTTGCTTGATGCAAGTGAATCATATGACTTGTTGGATCCATAGGCAGAGTCTTAAAGGGATAGTTCACCCACAAATGAAAATTCTGTTGTTAATTAATCAACCTTGTTTTGTTCCACTCCCGTAAGACTGGCCATACACGGTACAATTTCAGCAATGTTTCTGTTAAATACCAACTCTCACTGTACGAGTTAATTGCATGCAATGTCAAGCCAAAGCTCAGGAATTATGTGCTCACACAATACGGTCCGTTCGTTGAGATGCAATTTGATTGCTCACACTATACGTGCAAAATAAACATGTGGGATCCCCCGAACCCAGAACTGTGTAGCCTCCATCACGTCTGTCCAAACCACATGCCAGAAATTCCTACGACCATCCGATTTCCGGTCGGAAGAGGCTAATCGCTTCTCATTTCCCCCTGTACACTGCACATCAAAAGACGCACGACAAAGCTGAAATTCAGTCCGACTCAAAAAAGAGTCACACGAGTCAGAATTAGGCTCAAAATCGGATGAAAATCACAGTGTATGCACGGCTTAAGACTTTTGTTCATCTTCGGAACACAAATGAAGATAATTTTGATGAAATCTGAGAGCTTTCTGTCCCTTTGCAGTCAGCCAAGCAACTTACACATTCAAGGTCCAGAACGGCAGGAAGGACATTGCTAAAGTCCTCCATGTGGTTTAACTTAAATTTTACGAAGTGACGTGAGTGCTTTGTTTGCGAAAAAACATACTTTACCACTTTATTTACGAAAATATTATCCAAACACATGTCGTGGTATCTAGTGAACACTCACTCATGTGCGTTGTGTTGACGCTATTGTGTGAACACAACACAAATGCGTTGTGATGCTCTCATGAACGCACAATGCAGATCAATATTTTCATAAATAAAGTTTGCTTAACAAACCACTGGAGTCACGTGGAGTACTTTAAAGGGGTCATATGATGTTGCTAAAAAGAACATTATTTTGTGTATTTGGTGTAATGAAATGTGTTTATGCGGTTTAAGGTTCAAAAAACACATTATTTTCCACATACTGTACATTATTGTTTCTCCTCTATGCCCCGCCTTCTGAAACACGTAGATTTTTACAAAGCTCATCGGTCTGAAAAAGCGAGGTGAGCTGTGATTGGCCAGCTATCCAGAGCGTTCTGATTGGCCGAACACCTCAAGCGTGAGACGGAAATGTTACGCCACTTACCATACTGTGATGCCCTGTCCGGCCGGAGC